CGACGCAGCGTATGATATATATCCATATACGGAGATGCGTGGTGTGTGGTCTAGCTATGCACTTTCAGCGCATTTGTTTGTTCTTTGTGATGCCTTAGGTGTCTTGATTGTTCATGTTAGAGCTGAACTTCCATAGTGGGAGTTCTATTTACTCAAGTCAGTGTTTTGCGTGGTTAGCATCCCATACCTCACTGAGTGAGTCCCATGTTACTCACTCCTCTCTCTTCCCCCATTTCAGGTGATACTGACGATCAGGAGTGATCATTTCAGATTGGTGCTTTTGGGAGTTTATTTTATTTATTTTCAGACTTATTTTTGTCGTTATTTTGAGATTTATTATGTTATTTGGATTTATGGAGTTTGGAGATGATTTATGCGATTTAATAAATGGAGATTTCAGACATTTTTATTTAGTTTATTATTTTGGAAAATGCGGGTGTTACATAATTAGTCTCTAATTATGTGTTGCTCTCAGCCGAGTTACACGTTAACCATCAATTTCATCAAACATAGAAGACTGATGAACTAAACTGACAAAGAAAAAGCACAAAGCGACTTGCAGAATTCTAACCAAAGGTAAGTGTTGAAACCCATTAAAAAAATCAAAAAAATGATAAGAGATAAGTAGTAACATCGAATTTTCTGGAAAGCTTTCCTGAAACCACATAAATCCTTCCAGAAATTTAAAAAACAATACACAGTTTCACAAGCACAAGCAAGAAACTAACAATGTCATAAGTAAATTCACGAGCCTATCAAATACATCAACATGCGTAAGCCAAACAATAAGACACCAAACATAAAAAAATTCAAATTTATTAACATCGAATTTTCTAGAAAGCTTTCCTGAAATTACACAAATCCTTCCAAAATTATCTAAATATACAAAAGAGAGGAAAAAAATATGTTAATGCTTTTCACTTGATAGAAACATAGGTTAATGGTTACGCTCATCTCCATGGTTAAGATTTAACTACTTGCACATTTCCCTATTTTTCTGAAAATTCATCGTCAATATTTTATATGCTATCATGAATAGCTGATATGTACTTTGGTAAATGTATACACCCAATAATTCCACACTAAATCAGAAACTCGAGAAATATAATTCACACAAAAAAATCCAAACTACAGCGACTAAACAAGGGAATCTAATCCAAATTCTGCAATAGTCTATGCAATCAGAAATCAGTTTCCAGCAAAGAACTCTTTCTTCAACATCTCTCAATGCTTCTACACCTTGAAGAAGTCATTAGGAGCACAGTCACTTGGGAATGCGTCATCAAACTCATCAGTAGAGTCAAATATTCTTCTCTTAGTTGGGTCCATGAGAAGCTCATATGCTTCTTGGATCAACTTGAAGTGAGATTCAGTCGCTTCTTTCTTAGCTTGCTTTGCTTCATCACTCTCGTCAGAAAGAAGGAGAGCAGCAGAAAGCTTATCAGGATGAAGCTTCAGAGCAGCCTCACGATAGCTTTTCCTAATCTGATCCTCTGTTGCAAGATACCTCAAACTGCCCAAACCCAACAAGGCATAGTTATCTAAGGATCAAGAGCTGCCATGGAATGCACGGTATCGATGACAGTCTATAAGGTCATGAGACTTGCTTGTACCTGCAAGTGTCAGGTGTTTTGGTGCTTCTGCTCTATCGAAATAGAATGCACTAGAGACAAGCTTCTCTTTAGGCTGAAGTGCTACCCAAACGACTGTGTCTGCTCCTTCGCTGGTTCTAAGCTTACCAGAGAAACTGATTCACAAGTTTTAAAATTTCTTTAAGCACAGAAGGAGATGTTTTGCTTATACATATATAAAGTATGTTATTCGTTGGAAAACTTCTCTTACGATTCTTTGAAACTAGGCAAACTCCTGGCGACACCAGGTGTCTCAGCCCAGCCAGGGTGCATTGAGTAGAAATCTATGCCTTTGTTCTTGTACTTACCACCCCATTTTTCTGTCAGAGCCACCTATATCATTTTCATACAAAACAAACTTAGAAAAACCAGACAAAAGAAAAATATGGATTTTCACTTAGTAGATTCTGATTTTTAACAACCTGGATTCGTTTGTTCCATGCGTATTGTAACACTCCATTGAATTTTTCACCACTAAACTGTAGAAAAACCATACGCAGCAGCGCGAGTTGAGTGATGCAAACAGTGCCAAAGAGGTTACACAAACAAAAGGTGTCATGAATGTCAGATTGGTTACCTGAAGATCTGTAGTAAGTGGCGACGTGTACATTCCACCAGAGAAGACGGTGATGACTTGGCGTCAGGTGACGCTTTCTCCAACAGTGGAAGCATCGGTTCTGTCATTGTGTATGTCCCAAGTACATCCACCGCAAAATTTAACTCAAACCTAATACAATAGATGATCATCATATGGAACATTAATCAAGGTAAAATGACTCTGTGGAATGCTCAAGAAAGATAACTGAGACCAACCCTTCAGGTGTGGTAGTACGTTTGTTCTCAACCAAACCAGCATTATTAACCTAAAAACAAAAAAAAAATCAGAATCAAACAAAAGTTTTAGAATAGCTGAGTTTTTTAGTGAAATGTTTTATTCAAGCAGCAGTAAAAAGAAAAGACGACATTACCAGCACATGAACCGGAAGATCCTTGGAAGCAAAACTCGAAGCAAATGACTTTATATAATTGAAAGAAAGACAAATCACAAACCTAAACAAAGAAGCAAAGCTAAATAAGTTCGATACTCTTCCAATATATGCATAGAACAGAGTATTCAAAATCATAAGGTAGACATTCTAGTTTCCTGTAGAGTTTTGAATCTTAGAAAGAGCCCTTGTCCTCTTTCCTTGTTCCGACACACCATGTAAACAGTTGCTCCACTAAAAAACAAAAAGAGAAAGACTTTATATACATTGTGACAAAATCATATCCTGTTTTTTTTTTTCATAACTGAGACAAAGCTTTACCGTGAAGCAAGACCTTCTGCAGCTGCGTAACCAATACCAGAGTTAACTCAAGTGACCACACAATTCTTTCCTTGTATTTGTATCTGCATATCTTCAGGTTTGAACTTTTTTGAATGGTCTCTACCACAAACAAATGACATAGTCTTAGCATGACAGGTATTGAATCTCTCATCGCGATGCTGTTATGCGTAACCAAGCCAAAAAAAAATTTCAAATTTTCTAGCATCGGATTTTCTGTAAAGCTATACTGAAAGTTTGAAACACCTTCCTGAAACTAAAAAAAAATCCCACAAATTATCACAAACAAACTCATCTCATTCACACTCAAGAACACTGGAATTGCAGATAAACTACCACACATAATCAGCAGAACCAAGACTGTCTAGAAAAGAATATAACTCTTCCCACAATTCTTCTGATTAAAGCTATTTAAAAAATATAGCAACTATAAGATGGCTACTTAGCTACTTGATCATATGGTTCTAGAGACACTAATATTTTTTTTTTTTGGTAAAAGAGACACTAATATTTGCATGTGCCTTGGATTCATTAAGTAGCGTATTCATACTAGGCTATTCAAAAATCCTCAAAGTTCCATCTTGTACTGCATCAAAACAAAAATGAAGAAGAACCACTAAAAATTTCCTTCTCCGTTATAAAAAAATAAATTGAATCTAAAGAGCTTAATTCTTACCTCCCCACTAGCAGATTACAATGACGTTAGGTATCCCGTGTCCCCCAGCTCCACCTCTGCCTGCCAACACGATGCAGCGCCAGGAGGTTCACGTCGAAGACTCGCAGCCGTCTTCGGAATTCTCCTTATTCTTATCGATTTTCGATCTAACGGTTTCTTCATGTCTGCTACGAAGATCAGGAAGTCGTAAGTCTGTGTATTCGCCATTGATCCTCCCCTCCGTGTCTCCTTCTTCTTAGCTGCCGTTGCGTCGCGTCGAAGAGATCGAGAAGAGGAATAGTCTTGTGTCGCGTGAGAGAGAGAGAGGATGTTCTGATTATTTTCTTCTTTTTTTCTGTTTGTTTAGTTAATTTTAAAACAAGGGTATTATAGAAATTTTGTTAATTAATGAATGTCATTTTTGTGACTTTCTCCTTGTGGTGCTCTTTTGGGACAAAAACTTCAAATGGTCTATTATGGTCAATTGCCCAATAAAAAATGCAGATACCATTTTTGTTGTTTTATCTGCAGATGGATCGATATATTTTTTTTGCTTTGATGATATAAAATGTTCTTGTCAACTATACTATTAAAAGTAAATGCATCCTTTGAAAAATCGACTGATGAAAGTTGCGTGCACCCTCATTAATAGAATTTTGGTAATTTATTTTCGGCCTTACATCTATATATATATCGATTTGTTACAAATCATATCACATATTGTATATACCTAAATTATTCTCTTTCTATCCATTAATTACTCTAACCATTAATTATTCTCTTTCTTCCCATTAATTATTCTAACAATATTTCATACTATATTTCATACATTTATTGATTTCCAACATTATATTACACGATTTGGTATATGCATCATATCTATACTATTAAAAGTAAAGGCACCCTTGAATAATCAACTGACTAAAGTTGTCTGCACCCTCATTAATTGCATTTTGGTAATTTATTTTTTGGGCTTACATCTATATATATTTATTGATTGTTACAAATCATATCACATATTATATATACTTTATTTATTCTCTCTATCTTTCCATTAATTACTCTAACCATATTCATACATTTATATTGTGTTATAGGCCTTATATTACACGATTTCAATCTATTGATTTCCAACATTATTATAAAAGAAAACTGGCGATGGAAATGGCGATCTGATTTAGGGTTTATATGGATTCGGTGGAGATTTTTGGATGGGATCCGGAAATTGAAGGACGAGATATGCGATTGTGGAGGATTGATTATGGGTTAATGGTGAGATTTGGGAACTTCTGTACAAGATCGATGGAGAATAATTCTCTCCAGATTCACTGTGGCAACTTTTGGGAAGGATTAAAAACGGAATCGATATGGATTGAGGATATCTCTCTATTCCAGAAGGTGTTGGCTGTACAATCCAAGGATTTGGTGATTCTCATATATGATCTTTCTTTATCTGGAATAGGTAATCAGGATCGGAGATACAGAGTGATACTCTGGCGATTTTCGCTTCTCCAAGATGGGATTTTCCAAGATATTCAAAGGGATTCTTGCATTAAAATCGTCGGATTTTGGAGTGAGGAGAAGGGTGGTTGTACTCACTATATAATGGAGTTCTTTCTCGACTGGAGTACCATCGAACAACATCAAACACAAATTTCTTTCACTTTTTGGAATTCCTTTTTTCCGGGTCTAGTTATTTATGACACAAAGTCAACTTATCGGAGGAAAGGATGTTGAGAGGGTTGGAGAGGGTAACTGGAAGCGATTGAAGATCTCTGTACCACATTTCAATAACTCTGACTTGATCAAGAGTTATGCCAAGACCTTGATAGGAAGATGAATGAATCCGGCTGAGCAAAAGATGGAGTCTTTACTTGTGATGCTTCCGAAAATCTGGAAGTTGGAGGACAGGGTCGTTGGCACGGACTTGGGAAGGGGCAGATTCCAGTTCCACTTTGAGAAAAAGGAGGATATTTTGGCGGTGTTATGATAAGGGTTTTTTAAATCCTTAGAGAAAATAAATGTAGTAAGGTAAGTAGAGTGTCAATCTAATCCTGAGAGCTATTGAACAAATAGAATGCAAGACATTGCCAAATCTAAATACAATCAATGAGGGTTTGTTTTATAAGTGACTAGTAACTAACAATGTAAGTAAACAAGAGTAACTAAAGCTTTGTTTCAAGGAGAGAGGAGAACCTATGGGTAAAGGTATTGACTTTGGGTGATCAAGTTACTATCTAGGGTAAGGTTTCAAGCAATCTTTCATATCCTATAGGTCTAGACACAATCCTAAGCTAGTCCTTGGTCAAGGTAAAAGTTCATTTGCTATCAATCTCTAAACACAAATGGTCGTTGGTCTAAATCAATCAAGCAATCATTGAGAACAAGTCCACTAACCATCTAAGCCTTCCTAACATGAAGTTTCCTTGGTTAAGCAAGCAAAAAGCATTATTACTTTGGCTCAGGCATTTCATCATACACCTTGTGGGCAAGAAATGCCTAATGATCTAGTTTAGAATGATTAGGTCTAATATAGGATTTGAGAATAAGTAATAAGCATAGGACAAGAAGGATCTAACACTAATAACCCTAGATCATCACTTAATCACCCTAATCACCCTAACCCATAAGCTCAAGGAGAGTTTACTCACTAATCTTCATGTTTAATCTTAAACCCATGATGGATAGAAGACTAATCATGATTAGAAGAAGATATAGAATCAAATTACTCAAGAAACAAAGATTATATTAATCAAGGATTCAACTTTCCAATGTGTTTTTGAGAGAAAAGAAGATAAGTTTTAAACTTAGGTCTCCAATGTATTTATAGAAGCCTAAAAACGAGCATAAAAGTTGGGTGGTTTCGTCTGTAGCGACATGCTCGTAGCGGCATGATCTGGTCGCTACAGCACATAGAATTTTCTGGGGATTTTCTTGTAGCGATATGCTCTGGTCACTACAGTGGTCGCTACAGACTCTCCGCTCTCTTCCTAGCGACATGCTCTGGTCGCTACAATTCTGGTCGCTACAGGGTTGATATGCCTCCAGTAGATAGATCATAACTTCTTCAATACAGCTCCAAATGACTTGAAACCACTTCCATTAGAAAGATAACTCAATTTCCCATGTCTTCCCAAAATATGAGCTTCAAAAGATATTTTTAAGGTCTCCATCCATGTTCATATTTAACCCTCTTTTGGATCACAATGCTCCCAAACACCTCCATTCACTCCATGGCACACTCCAATACCTGGTAAGGACATATGAATGCAATATAGACCTAAAGATGTCTAAACCTTAATATATATGATGATTTATGTACAAAATAAAATACTAAAACTATGCAAATATGCCTCATATCATGTTAGAGTTCCAGCCGTATCATTTTGATTACTGGATGATCTCATTGGGTAGGTGGCAGCATAGAATGTCTCCTCAGTTTCCTTCTATGATTCCATTTTGGATTTAGATCGAAGGTGTTCCAGGAGAGTTTTGGTCAGCTGACACTTTCCAGAGTATTGGAGATGCCATTGGGGAGACGACTGATGTTGATCTGGATACGGGGAAGATCAGAGTGGTGTTAGACGGGGATAAAGAGCTGTGTTTTGATACAACCATTGAGTTCGCTGGTGGCGAATTCTATGATAGTGAAGAGGCTTTGGTGACGCTGAAGTATGAGCGTCTCTTTGGTTATTGTGGTACTTGTTTGAGCCTGTGTCGCCATAAAGATTTATGTCCTCTTACATATAAGGGTACAGAGAGGAAAAAAGAGCTGAGGGAGGTATCCAGGGACCGCTGTGATGACCGTTCCAGAAGCTACATAGGGGTGCTGATCAACGGAGATGGAGGGTTTTCCAATGGTGGCAACTCTCAAAAGGATTATTATGGTAAGGGAAAGGGGAAAAAGGTTGATGACCAAGAGGCCAAATGGGTTAAGGTTCCGGAGAAGGGGCATAAGAGATCCTATTCTTCTAGAAGTAATGGTCGAGTTAATGAAGGGACTTCTAGACAGGGTTATTCAAGAAGAGATCAGCCGAGAAATAACTTCCTAGAGGAGAAGCCTCGTTCATCTGGGGCTGTTGATACTGATTTTGGGCTCACCAGAAATACGAAGGAACACGAAGTGGAGGAAGGGGAAATTAAGGCCATAAGGAGTGCTCAGAATCAGGTGGATCACGAGATGAAAGCTCCAGCACAGGAAAAGGGCAATGTGGTACGGGAGCTGTCAGTGGAGGTGGGAAAGGATCTGGAATGGGCTAATGATGTTTCACTGGAGGGTCCAGTGAACGGGGAGGAGCTGGGAATTGATATAAAGAGGGAACAGGAACCGTCAGCTGAGTTAGAGGGGAACCTTGGGGAAGATGACTTTCAGGATTTAACTAATGAGGAGCAGGAGGTTGATAACGAGGAAGTCATGGTGGAGGCAGTGGACAGTCGATCTTAAGTGGTTGAGGAGGGTATGGAGCAGCCTAAAGGAGGTTTCGAGAAGAAAGGAGGTGCAAGGAAGAGTCTTTTCACTAGCACTGCAGGAGGTAACACAAGCAAAAAGTTTGTTCAAGCACTTCTCTCACCTTGTAAGCGTGGTGCGTCTAAACAAGGGGTAAAGAAATCTGGAGTTCCTAAACAGGTAGAAGAGAAGGGCCTTCAATCCCTAAAATGCTTCCAAAGCCCTAAATGTTGGTTAATGATACACAATCTGCTAAGGAAGGAGTACACGGATTGGTTGAGGTGTTTGAGTTTAAGTTTATTTATGTCTGCAATAAGCTCTCTGAGCATCAGGTTTTCGTTTTATGTATCTTCTGGTTTCATTTATTTTTCATGTTTGCAATGTGCCCGTATCTGGGTGGTCCTGATATCGAATAAAATTACTTTCTTTGGTTTGTGTTGGTATTTTGGTCACTGGTGGGGAGGTCGTGGAAATTTGTGGGTTATTATACAACTTTTTGCAATGATGGTTAGGATAAAGTTATTTAGTAAAGGAACACATTTGGGGGTTTTCTGGAGATTGGATTTTCTGATATATGTTTGGCCTGCTAGTAGGGTGAAGCTTCTGGTTATAGAAACATTTCTTTTACGCCTTTTTTACTCAAGTGTAGAGTACGTTACTTGGTTGGTTTGTTGGTTTGTTGGCTTGTGCGTGAGCTGATTATACACTGTTATTGGCCAGGTGGTTGGACGGTGGTGTACAGTAGGTTTCACGAAGGTATTTTGGCGCATCTAATATTGCA